AATTAATGTAATGTTTTTTACTAACAGTACAGTAATGAACTGGAGTAATGAGATTTTTTGTCTACAGAAAGTTATTAACTGTCATGAAGTAAAGCTAAAGCTCTTGTGTCGGTGTCCCATGATCCTCTCTGTGTGTCGGTGTCCCATGATCCTCTCTGTGTGTCACCCAGGTGTGCGGCTCGGGGTCATGAGTCTGGCCTCGTGTTTGTCTGACGGTGTGTTTCTTTGCTCATGTTTGCTGGATCTGCTGCCCGATTATCTGACCCACGCCAGAGAAACCTTCAGCCGGCTCGGCCTCGCGGTCAGTCATTAATTATTATTATTAGTAATTAATCAAAGAATGTGACTTTGTGTTTACAAACAGTACTGGTGAGTGTACAGGATTCTCAGCACCGTCAAAATAAAAGTCCCAACAACACTGCAGAGTTCCTGCTGGCGGTGCGAATGCAACCAGGAAAACGTTCCCATTGGCTCTCGGGGAACCGTCCTGGAGGCCTAGAACTGCCCGGTGGGAAAGCCGCTCATGTGTTTGAGGAAGGACTGCTCCTAAGGCATCAGACTGAACCAGGACTTTTTTTGTGAAGTCGGTCTGGAACGTCCTCGTGATGTCACAATAGATAATAAAAATCCATGTTGAGGGTTTAATTTGTAAACCTTTGTTCCCGATTAGCACTAAAGGTGGAGTTAAAACGTTCTCCGGTGTTAAACGTGTGATTAATGAGGGTCTCTGTCTTTGCAGCTTCATTTCCCGCTGGCCGAGTTCATCGTGTCCATGGGATTCCTTCTGGTGTTCGTGTTGGAGCAGATGCTGCTGGCGTTCCGAGATCCGACGGGCTACGAATCCCTGGAGAAGCAGGCGCTCGTAGACCCTCACATGACCCGGAGTCGGGATCCTCCCGGCCGATCCTGGACCCGTGAATCCCTGGAGAAACAGGCGCTCGTAGACCTTCACATGAGTCGGGATCCTCCCGGTCAGTCCCATCGTCTCTCCGGATCCGCTTCTCCGGAGCACGTGGGTCTGCGTGTGCTGCTGCTGGTGTTCTGCCTGTGTGTGTGCGCTCTGGTCGAGGGTCTGAGCGCCGGATCCCAGCTGGATCCCGAACTAATCCTGCAGATCGGAGTGACCCTGTTTCTCCGGCAGGCAATCATGGCGTTCAGTCTCTCCGTCCGGATGAGCCACTACGGTCTCCGTCAGGCCGTGGCGTCCGGATGCATCTTTCTGTTCTCCCTCTCCTGTCCGGCGGGAATCGGGATCAGGATGGGAATGGGAATGGTCGGGGTGACTCCCAGCGAGACGGTTCAGCTGGTCCGATGTGCCGTGGAGGGTCTGGCGTCGGGGATCTTCATCTACGTCTCCATCGCTGGACTCCTGTGGCAGGAATCGGCCTCTCCGAAGCATCGCGTCCACAAAGTCACGTTCCTGCTCACGGGATTTGCTCTGGCTACTGCCGTTCTCTTCTGTAAAGTCTGATCGGATTCGGAGCGCTTGGATCAGAAAATGTGCTTTAAAGGTGTTGAATGTAGCTTTATCGCTCTACTAAAGCGTAAAATACCATAACATGGCTAATTTCATATAGTTTTTTCTCTGAAAAACACTTCTACAGACAGTTATTTTACTTATTTTACACATTTCATGTTGTCTGTCTGTTTTTGTTATGGTCTGTGTGACTCCGCCCACTGTCAGTTCAGCCAATAGTATTTAGCCAATAGAAAACACAGTGTATTGCAGCCAGCTGACAAACTGGGTCAGAGATTTCAGATTCTACCCAACCTAAAAAGTATTCATCCAAAAATCTCTATGAACGAGAGCGTATTAAAGCGTGGATAATCATCTCATCCTCTTGCGTGTGTAAGTCTCTCTGCTCGTTCCTGCCGTGTGTGCTCAATCTGGCCACCCTTGGGAGCGTCGAGTCTGAGGAGGCGGGGAACAACGATATCTGATATTTTGATTTTGGACTGCAGTACCTATTTCCACCACTAGCTGTCATTCTCACAGACTGCACCTTTAAATACACAACATTTCAATAAAAGCAGAAAGCACTTCTTTATCTACTGGAGAATAAAGTCTTCATAGATTTTTATTTGTACATTATCTGCTGTTTGCTTTAGTTTAACTCTCTATTAGGCAGTTTTATATTAATGTAGGATATTGTACAAAGTGCTACAGTATTTTTTACACATATGATTCTGTATTCCTGCACAGCATTAAATGCAAACACACACATCTGTATTATCATATGAATGTCAGAATGATGCAAACATCTGATTCCACGTGTCACAACAGATGGTGTAGAATTATTAATAATGTGTGAGCTGTGTTTTATTGTGTGTGTGTTGTGTTCAGGAAACAAACAAAAAAAAAAACAGATTTATTGGCATGGCTGTAATAAATAATACAATATTTACAAAGTAAAGCCTGGAAAATATGATATGTATAACGCAATATTATAACTATAAAACATTTGGATATTCATAGAAACACGCATACTAAATGAAGCAATGGCGTTGGGTTACATTCAAGATATTTTAAACCATGAACGAATCTTTTGTCATGGAAAAAACGCTTAAATATGTCAGTTATGATGAGGGATACACAACTATTGTCTACAGGGGGACTTTTTTTTACTCACAACAAATAGCAATTTCTATCCAATAAAATATTTGGAAAATGTATATTCATTATAAAATGTTCCTAAATGTATAAAAATGTACTTTTTTTAGGTCTAGAAACAATTTTATATAAATTATTATTTTTTTAGTAAGAAATAAAAATGAAGAAAAATAAAAACAAAGAAAATGAAACGCTTACTAAAATTCTTACATAATTAAATGCAAAATTAAAATGAATAATTTACTAAAATAATTAGATGCAAAATTAAAATAAATTATTTAAAATGAAAAACAACCTTAAACTTAAACCATAAATATGGTTTAAAAAATCTGAATAAAAACGTAACGTTAAAGTATAATTTTAAAAGTAAAAAAAAAAATAATAATATTAAAACGCTATTTAATATTATTATTATTATTCAATACTAGTTGTGCTGTAAGTCCGTCAGTGTTGGTGTGTGTGTGTTGAGTTTGAATGTTAAAATGTTTGTGTGTGGGTGTGTGTGTGTGTGTAAGTCTCGCTCGTGCCCCTAGAGGGCTCGTCTTGTCAGCAAGTATGTGTATGTCGGTTCTTCGGTTCTGTATGTGAGTTCGGGGTTCGATCATCATCATGTCCTCCGCGGGATCATGCGGACCGGCACCGGGACCGAATCACGGCGGTTCTGGTCCCTCAAACCCGCGAAAGTTCAGCGAGAAGATCGCGCTCCACACGCAGAGACAGGCTGAGGAGACCGCGGCGTTCCAGCAGGTCATGATGGACATCACCTCCACCCGGGTAACACACACACACACACACACACACACACTCTCTCACGGGAACCGGATCGCGGTTCCGACGTTCCCGCTGAAAAGCGTCAAATCCGTGTTTTACTCTCGTCTCGTGAGCGCGCTCGGTGGCTGGCAGGAGCGCGCGCGAGCAGGTAATAGCGCGCTAGCTAACGGAAGCTAACGACAATAACGCTGTTATCATGAAAATGGAATAAAGGAAAGACGTCAAATAGACTTTAATTATATGGTAGATGTTAGAAGAGCCACTATGATAGTAAACGACATTAAAAGAACGATAAATGCGTGTGTGAGTTTGAATAGTCTGTCAGACAGGAAGCGGTTAGCAGCAGATTAGCATGACACACACACACACACACACACACACATCAATCAGTGTATTCGTCTAAACTTCACATATGAAATCAGATGTACAGTCTGATGTCTAATTTACTTTATCTAGGTTCACTGCCAGAATGTGTGATGGTATTTTTGTCCATGTACCATGGTATATAGTAGTGTGTGTGTGTGTGTGTGTGTGTGTGTGTGTGAGAGAGAGAGAGAGAGAGAGAGAGAGAGAGAGAGAGAGAGATGTCACTGATAACTAACCCTGATTTGGGCTGGTCACCCTGACCTTTGCACTTTCACCTCATCACTGGAGGTCCATCATCGGAATAATAATATTCAGGCTATCAAATAAAATATTAGTTTTTAGTTAGTGTATTATTTTGATTTGTTTTTTATTTTATTTTTTAAAATGTTTAAGTTTTAATAACTTGTGACTTTGGACAAAGGTGTTTGCTAAATGATGAAATGTTTTAATTTTAATTTTATTTTTTGTATAAAATGGTTAATTTAAATTAGCATTTTATAATGTCATTTTTAGTAAGTGTATTATTTTTGTTTTATTTTCAAATTAATCTAATAAAAAATGTTTTAGTAAGTGTTTTTTATTTTAATTCAAAATATTTATAATTTAAGTTTCAGTAAGTGATTATTTAGATTTATTTTGTTGTTTTTATCTTATTTTATTCTAAATGTTAATATATTTTAATCTTGTGTTTTATGATGAATTATTACACATTTAGTAAGACATTTTAATAAACAATTACTAAAAAAAAATTGCATCATAAAATGTTACATTAAAAGAGATAATTTAAAATGAAAAACTATCAACACAAAACACTTACCAAACCCAAAAAAATAATTTATTTTTTATTTATTCAGATGATCGATTTCCACCGGTGAGGTCAAAGTGCAAAGGTCATTTAATGACCTGGTCAAGGGTTAGAGCACAGGTCATGATTGTAAAGTAATCAATAGTAAGTGTTTTGATTCGATTGATTAGAGATGATCGTCTGATTCTGTCATTCGTCGGTGTCCGTCTCTCAGGCACAATGATGCTCTTGACGTGTGTTTGCGAGGGTTAAAGGTCACAGGTCACGCTCAGATCTCCTATAGCAAGTCCTGCCCTTCGTCTCAATGTCTCAATTTCTCAAAGTGTGGATCGGTGGTCACTATAACAGCTGATATTACCCACAATCCACTGCGCTGTGGACGAGGAACTACAAAGGCGAGTAAAATGTTTACAAAAAACTACAAACGTGGCGGATGTGCCCGACCGACGGTGAGAGGTTCAGAGAACAGAGTGACTAATCAAAGTTTAACATTTCTTTAATTATGTCTGTTCAGAGCAGCTGGGAAATCTCAGAGTGTGTGTGTGTGTGTGTGTGCGGTGTGTGTCCAACACACTTCTCTCTGGATGGGGAAACTGTGGTTAATGTGATTAGGTTGACCTCTAACCCTGAAACATGCTCTTTTGCTCATGTGTGTGTAAACATGTTTGATGGTGTATCTTCAGCTTGACACTGAATATTTAACCCAGGGTTAAACAGACGCAAGCCCTTATTTAAGCCGGACAGGAAATGCCGCGCATTGTTGACCCAGTATCCCAGCGATTCCCAAACTGGTTTTGTCAGCCCAACCCATTTAACCTAAAATCATTTTTTCAAGAACCACCTGAGATTTATTCCAATAATTAAACAACACATTCATGTTTACAGTTGTAAATTGTCACATGACAACACATTAAATATTTCATTTTATTTCTTTCCAGATTTTTATTATGATTCTTTTTTTAAAAAGTTTATTTTAATTTGACATTTAGCAATTGAATTAATTATTTTTTTCCAAAAATCTTTGTTCGTTTTTAATTTAAAACATTTTTTTTATGATTTAATTTTTAGTAACATATTTTTGATGATTTTTATTTTAAAATGATTCATTAGTTAATGAATTTTCGGGTTTTTTTTTCATTTTGATTTGACATTGTGATATGATTAAATTGACTGTTTTCATCAAATCACGAACCCCAGTTTGGGAAACCCCAATTTTTTTTGTAAGTTTAGTTGATGTCAAATTATATTTCAAGTAAATGTCAGGTAATAAGACTTCCTGTCCATTTTCCACACTGTAAATGGAAGGTCAAATGGAGCACATTGCATTGTGGGATATTGGGTCAAACGCTGGTCTGGTGCTTGTGTGCAGGTCCAGGCACAGAAGGTCCGGCTGGCCAGATCTCAGGGCCCGTATTACGGCGGATCTCTGCCAAACGTCAACCAGATCGGCAGGAGCACCTCAGAACTGCAGGTGTGTGTGTGTGTGTGTGTGTGTGTGTGCCTGTGCCATCGGCAGCTCCTCACGGATCTGACGCCCCTGTGTGTGTGTGTGTGTGTCTCAGGAGGGCTCGTTCCACTCTCCGCTGGACTCCAGTCGCTCCACTCGGCATCATGGTCTGGTGGAGCGAGTGCACAGGGACCGGCACTTCGTCTCTCCCAGCAGACCCTACAGGAGACACGTATCCTTCAGCAGGGGAGGTGCATGACAGCAGGAGTGAAGCGGGTCGCAGCTGATCCTGACCCGTACGATTCGCGGATTAACTGCTAAATTTACCCATCATAGAGCGAAAGTTTATAGTTTGGACGTGTTTTATCTGGTCGGGACTCGTGCGTGGACCCCCTATATATATTTCTTTGCTGATCCGAATAATTATCCGATCCGTGGCTCAAAAAGCGTAAATGATCCGAACCGTGAGTCTTGAGATCCGTGGCACCACTAATTAATAATCAACTAATGATGAATCAGGTTTTCCTTGATCTCTTTTGATGAGTAATATGCCAGTAAGTACAGACAGAGCCCGTCTAACAGCACTTCCTATTAGCCCCGTTGTGGATCATCCTGGTTGCAGTTCCATTATAATTCCACTGGAGGTGATCGCGGGCGAGAGCAGAATGAATGGGAGTCTATGGGGCTAAACGGCTAAAAGTGTCTCTTTCACCTGCTTGTCATTAAATCAACATAGATTTTATTGTCGATTCCGCAAGTTCAATATAGATTATAGGCCAAAAGTCGAATGAACGAGTGCTTATGTCCTTTTGATGTCTTACAGGTTAGGCTGTTGTTGGCCGGATCACGCTAGCATTCTGCTATTGTGTGACGTCATCACAGTTTTGAACGGATTTTTAGAACAGATAAGTGAACTTAAAAATGCAAGTGTATTATCTTAGCCCTCCCTTTTGAATGCAACTTTCAAATTACTTGACAAAAAATTACATCCTGAGAAAAGAGGATTTATAGGGGTGAAACCCCATTGACTCCCATTCATTCTGCACTGGACCGCGAGCGCCCCCGCATGGACAGAGACGCGTTACTGCAGCCAGTCCACAACCCGGAAGTAACCAGCCAGTGCCGATTCTCTTCAATTAGACATTCTCTGGTACAGATGTGTGTGTGCTGTTTGTCTCCTTGACCTCTGACCCCAGATGGACACCCCTCACAGCAGCGCTGTGTATCTGACTCCGCCCCCTGACCCCAGCTGGAGAAGGTAACGTCTCATTGGTTTACACTCACACTGGCTCACTGACTTTTGCTGTAAAATTTCATGAGTCGGGCTTTGAACCCTGTTTGTGGACAGTGCCGTGAGTGTGTGTGAGTGTGTGTGTGAGTAACAGATCTGCATCTTCTCATCTGCTCTTCCTCTGCTGGTGTCTCTCAGGAGATGCTCCTCTTTAGTCTTTGCTGCTGTTCCTCGTCTTGTTCTGGTTGAATGATTCTGATCTTAATCTTCTTCATCTCACTGAGATGTTTGTTGTGTTCTGATGGAGGAGATTTCAGCAAACACCGGTGATGATAGATCAGAAACATCTGAATGCTTTTAACACACACACACACACACACACACTAACAGACTGTAGGTGTATTTGCGCTGGTCAGATGGTTCGGTCTGTGTTTAACCTCTTCTCGCTCAACACACACACACGTCCTTCGCTTCTCTGGTTCTTTCTCAAGCTGCTCGTCTCTTTATTCTGCTCTCAGTTCTGGAAGTAACAGGCGTTTTTTGTCAATCATGAAGGAACTGGAACAGTAACTTTCCCTCGGACAAGAGCCAGATGTTCCACCAGCTGCCCACCGGCGCGCTCAACAGGTGACGACTCTCTACAGATCACTCACGCTAGACGAGCCTTTCGGTTCTTCAACATCTGCAATCTTCAACCAGTCCAGTTCTGACACTTTCAGAATCTTTCCTTGAAGTCAAAAAATGTAATGGTGATCTTCGGTCATTTTTGACCGCGAAATTCCTTCTTTTTTTAATTTATTGGAATGGCATGAAAATTGGTAAAGTTTTTGGCACTTGAAATGTGAACACAAAAAAATCCTGGACATGATTTGAAAAGGTTAAATGGTCCCGAAAACATAATCACACTTCTTGCAGTTAAAAACTCAAAAATGAAATGCTAATTTCATCTAGTGGAAGCGTTTGGTACTGCAGTCGAACACAATCTGACTGAAAGCTCATCAGTCATCTCCGTGTAAACTTCAGAAACGTGAATCTGAAACCTGGAGTAAATATGTGCGCAGGCGTGTTGTCTTTACGAAGTGACATCGCCAACGTACGTGTCTGGCTGCATTATACAGAACTTTTAGTCATTTCCATGTGAACTGGAATCATTGTGATAATGTGTTATCTGGACCACGGTGAAGGAGTATTGAGTCTTGTGGTCAATTATTATCTGAGATTGTATGGTTTTTTCTGTATGTACTGTAAATATGGAATTAATTTTGTTATAAAAGATCTTGAACGGGAGCAGTAAAGCCTGTTTTGATGTGGCCGTCTGGTTTTGTGTGTCTGCAGAACGAACTCGGACTCTGCGCTCCACACGAGTGTGATGAACCCGCCGGCTGCAGACACCTTCTCTGCCGGACTCTCGCTCGCGGCGCAGGGCCGACGGGCCGGTCAGTGGCTTCCACACTCCTCATGTGACCATCATCGTGTGTGTGTGTGTGTGTGTGTGAGTGAGTGAGTGGGTTCTGACAGGTTCTGTTCTCCTCCTGCAGTTTTCTCCTATCCAGTTCCTCCCATCGAGGAGAACGGCCCGGATGACGGACGCCTGCTCAAACCCTGGGACTCCAGGAAGGTGTGTGTGTGGTCAAATGTCTTCACAAAGACAGTAAAAAAGTGGTTTAGAAAGTGTAAACATGGCCCAGATGTTCTGCTAAGTCTGTGTGTTTTCGCCTCGTTCAAACCCATTTTCTCCATAAGGAAACGGATATTTAACAATAAAGTGAAAGTTAAAGTTCTCAGAAGCGTTAAAGTCAGCCGTACTGTGAGGACGAGGCTGCTTTTGCTTCTGGACCATCTGCAACATTATTTCAGCTTAGTTTTAAAATTATCTGGTGAAAAACTACATTACCCACGATGCTCTACAGAAAATTCAACCAATCAGTCGAAACGAGCTAAACATGCCAGAAGAGCGCGTAGCTCCGCCCACTCCCATGAAGCACTATATATTCACTAAATATTTGAATACATATATGCATATTTTGCAATAAACATAAATATATTGTTTTTATATAGATTTTTAAATCACTAGCTTTATGGTTTAATTTGATTATGCCGTTCGCACTGCATCATGGGATTGTGGTTCTTTCCTCACTAATGCCGTTGAGTTCAGTCTTTGTATTTTTGCCTATTTTCAAATACTTTTTTTTGCATCAAATCAAAGATTTTGTTTATGATCTTGTGTTTATGTGAAGTTTTCTGAGATAAATGAGGATTTGAGCATATTTTTGAACTCTGCATCATCAGATTAGGCAATTTTAGGCCTTTTTGCAACTCAGCAGAAATGTTGAAGATGCTGGGCTGTGTTAGAGATAAACAAACGTGTGTGTGTGTGTGTGTTTGACTCATGTCTCGTTTTTTCTTCAGCTGCCGCTGCTCTCTTCACGACCACGGTCCTGTGAGGTGCCTGGAATCACGTGAGTTCAACCGGCCAATCACACGTCTCCTTACACCACCGGTCAGTCATTCACTCGTCTCTTCCTCTGAGAGTGTGTGTGTGTGTGAGAGAGAGAGTGTCTGTCAGAGTGTCTGTGAGAGTGACAGACACTCTCACACTCTGTCTCACACACACACAGAGAGAGAGAGCTCACCTATTCGTGTACCCTCAGCTCTGCTCTGGGATGCTGGGATGAGTGTTAGTGGCTGAAACAGAGAGCCGTGGGCCAAACACCAAAGCTGAAAACCAGAAGTGATCATTTACTGGGGTTTCTTCACATTCATATACTGTATTATATCACATTTATATACACACACCTCAGTTCACTTCAACAAATGAGCCAAAGCCACCGCTGTGTAGAATAAAGCTGTGATTGTGTGTCAGTGCGGATCAAGATTTTTTTATTTTTTTATTTTTTATTTATTTATTTAGAAAAGGGACCGTGTACATTAATAAACATTCTTAAATGTAAATGTACCCAAATTAGCCCAAAGGCTAGTTTTCATTGGTAGTCCCTTTGCCAGATGTTATTAGGCTCTTAACTAGAAAAAAAAGAGTTAAAAATTACAGCAATACAACAGTCATAAAACTAGAAGTATACAAAAAGACAATGTATATACAGACACAATTAAACAAAAAAAACATCACAATCTTCATTCTGTTCTCCTGTAACAGTAAAGGTCCACAGTGATGCTGTTTCACTGCATCTTTACTCCGCAGTCCCGCAGTTATAAATCACACACTCGGTTAAAGTGGTTTATCGGCAGGTTATATTTCTTGTCCAAAGTGTTTTATCCTCCTCTTCCACTGCGGTGTGTGTTAGTCTTACTGTGCAGCTCTTACTGTTAGAGCACATTAGCATTTCTTTAATTCAGCATCTGAGCGACAGCACAGTCAGTTAGTGTTATTAAAGTCTATAACTCATAAAATCCTTCACAGTCGATCCACAAATTATATTTATATCAAGTGTCCGGTGCTAACAGTCTGATAGTGGAATGAAATTGACCTGAATCTATAGTTAATGTTCGAGCTGTTTTTGTGTTGAAACAGGATGTTGTGTTGATGATGTTATCTTGGACGGTTCCTGGTTTAAGACCATCAGTGTTCAGCCGCCCGCGCTCTGATTAACCTGCAGTTCCTCCTCTGGCCACTAGAGGCGCTGCAGAAGAGACTCACTCCCATTGACTCACATGTTAAAATACCCAACTTTACAGCAGAATTAAACATGTTTACAGTCCGGTGCTAAAAGTGGTTTTGGTCTGTATCGCTAATGTTGCCCTTCATGACGACTGTGAGGGGGTGAATATTTGTGTAACTTATCCGTTTAAATTATATTAAGTCTTAAAGTTCTGCATAATTAAGGGCGTGGCTACTTGAGCGACAGGTCGCTACTAGCCGTTTGTCTGCTAGTGTTAGCGTCACGTCACCTCAGCTAATCCGCCTCTGCACATGTTCGTTTATTTGGGAGTGATGCGTGGCCAAGATGGCGACGGCTGGCTCCGCCCACTTTGGGCTTCAGAAATTTGTCACACACACTACGCCATGTTTATTTACAGTCTATGGTTTCAGTCTCTCTCTGTGCGCTGGTTTCAGGTCAGTATCTGACGTCACTGTGTTTGTGTGTGCAGTGTGTTTCCCTCTCCGGACCAGCAGGGCGGCGCCACTCACGGCCCGTCAGTGTTGAACACGGGCGGCTCGCTGCCGGATCTGTCCAGCCTGCACTTCCCGTCTCCTCTCCCCACGCCGCTGGACCCGGACGAGCCCGGATACCCGTCGCTCAGCACCGGGAACCTGACCTGCACCCTCACCCAGCTGGGCATCGCCGGCTCCCTCCACTCCTCAGGTGTGACGTCGCCACACGCTCAACAAGTGAAGTGGATCAAAAGGGTTGATGGGAGTTGTCCTTTAACGAGAACGGGGATCGTTCAAAATTGATGTGTAACTGATGAAAGGCTTTGATCCACTTCAGTGTGACTCTTCATTTTACCCTCTGTGATGCTCGCGAGTCGGCGGTCAAAATTTCGATTATGTTTTTATTTTATTTCATATGTTGTAATTTTGGGGGATTTTATGGTACTAAATTATATTTTTATTTATAATTCATTCCTTCACTTTTTGAGCATAGACCTGAAAATTTAATTTCCAGCTTAAACTGGTGAATCTTGAACGCTTTAAAGAAAGAGACTGAAGTTTGATCTCTTCTCAAACACGGCCGCAGATTATTGCTGAAGTGAAAAAAAAAATTATAAACAAAAACAGTTTATTAAAATGCACAAAAATACCATTTGCAATTTTTATATGAAATATATATTTTCAAAAACACATTTTACTCTAAAACTGCAAGAAAATCAAAGCCATAAACCAAAGTGTGTGTTCCGCACGTGAGCTGATCTCATTCAGTGAGTGTGTGTTCGGCTGCTTCCACTAGAGGAAACTCTCATTCATTTTTTGTCCGCGAGGAGCTCAAGTGGGACTAGTTTTACCTTTACCAAGTTTTGCACCATTCTGATCGAGTAAAAAAACGTTTTCAGTTTTCAAAGAGCACCAGAGGGTCAGAGTCGTATGTCTAAGGTTAGAGTGGAGCCATGATGTTAATATGAACCTCGTGTGTCTTCAGGTCTGCTGCCGTCTCTGCAGGGCACGTCGAGTAGCCCCTCCCTCCAGTCGTCGCTTAGCAACCCCAACATCCAATCATCTCTCAGCAATCACTCATTCCCGAGCTCCGCCTCCCTGCACTCGTCGCTGAGCAACCCCTCCCTGCAGTCCTCGTTAAGCTCCTCCCCCTCTCTG